GTGGTGGCAGCCCGAAAGGACTTGACAGGCGAGGTGCTGAGTAGGAGGATGTGCGGGGATTACAGGGATCTTAACAAAATTACAGTGCCAGATAGATACCCCATGCCGATGGCAGAAGAGCTCTTTGACAAGTTGGCGGACGGGGTGTTCTTCACCACGCTGGACCTGCGACAGGGGGTCAATCAAATCAAGATCAGAGAAGAGGACGTGAAGAAAACGGCCTTCCACGGACCGGATGGGCTGTACGAGTGGCTGTACATGCCCTTCGGCCTGAGGAACGCCTCGGCAGTGTTCCAGAGAGTTATGGACGCGGTGCTGCGGGGAATAGAACACGCGGCGTGCTACATCGATGATGTCGTGATCTTCAGCTTGACCGAGCAGCAGCACCTGGAGGATGTGGAGAAGACACTGACGGCCATAGAAGGGGCAGGGCTCACGTGCCATCCCAGCAAATGCAAGTGGGGGGAGCGGACAGTGCAGTACCTGGGGTACGAGGTCACAGGGGGGCAGATTGGGATCCAGCAAGCAAAGGTGCAAGTGCTGGACAGGCTAAGGGAACCGCGAGACAAATCAGGACTGCGTGCGGTCTTGGGCTTCGTCAGCTACTACAGGCGCTTCGTGCCGAACTTCAGTAAACGAGCGATGGTGCTGAATGGGATGCTGCGCGAAGACAAGGCATGGGAGTGGGGAGAGAAGCAGAGAGAGGCGCTGCAAGACCTCATGACAGCCGTGAAGACAGCAACAGTGCTGCGGCTGCCAGCGGCAGACCAGCCCTTCATCTTGTACACCGACTGGAGTAGCCAAGGGATGGGGGCAATACTGTGCCAGGAGGTGGAGGGAGTGGAGAAGGTGGTGGCCTACGCCAGCAGGAGCTGCAACCCAGCGGAGGCACAGTACAGCTCATACATCGGGGAGGGGCTGGCGGCAGTATGGGCGGTCGGGCATTTCCGGATATACCTGCAGGGCCGAGAATTCACCCACTGATCATCAGCCCCTCACATGGCTGATGACCACACCAGGGCTGACAGGGAGGAACGCGAGGTGGGCAGTAAAGTTGCAGGAATATGATCTCAAGATCAGGGACAGGCCGGGGAAGACGCTGCAGCACGTCGATGGTCTCTCCCGCAACCCGCCGCCGCTGGAAGCGGAACAGGTAACACAGGGGACGGAGGAGACAGAGCCGGAGCCAGCGCAAACCTTGATCTTGCTGGCAAGAGAGGTGGAGCAGGTTGGTGCAAAAGGGAGTAAGGGGCCAGCTGACATCTGGCAGGATGCAAAGGCAATGGAATGGGTGAAGGGAGAAACCGAAGAAGATGAGACGGTGTCAGAGAGGGTGAGGGCACGAGGGCACCACTACAGGTGGTATCAGCAGCAGCTGCAGATCAAGACGGAGGATGGCTGGAAGCTGGTGCCAGCGCCTAAGGACCGTGAAGCAGTGATCAAGGAAGTGCACACTAAGTTGGGACACTTCGGGCACGAGAGGACCGTGCACCTGCTGAAGACGGGCTGGTGGTGGGAAGGGATGCGCAGGCAAGTGAAGGAGTGGGTGGAGGGATGTGAGGCATGTCAGAGGAGCAAAGCAAACCTGACGCAGGCCAAAGCAGAGCTGCACTCACTGCCAATCTGCGGGCTGGGGTTCCGATGGTCCCTAGACCTCGCGGGAGAGCCGCCGCTAAGCAGGAGTGGGAATCAGTACATAGTGTTCATGGTGGAACATGAGCAAGTGGCTGGAGGTGAGAGCCATCCCTAGCAAGAGCGCGAGGCATATTGCAGCAGCCTTCAAGGCACAGGTGGTGTGTCGGTTTGGAGCGTGCGGTGAGGTGCTCACAGACCAGGGAACGGAGTTTCAAGGGGAGTTCAAGAAGTTGCTGGAGGAGTCTGGCATCACGCACCGAAAGACCTCCCGCTACCACCCGCAGAGCGACGGGCTGACCGAGCGAGCAGTGCAGACCTTCAAGCGAGGGCTGCGGGCCTACGGGGAGCAGAGGAAGAGGGATTGGGATGATGAGTTGGACTGGATAGCGGCGGGATACAGGTTTGGGAAGCAGGCAGCGCTGAAGGATCATTCCCCGTATAGCCTACTCTTTGGACGAGAGCCAATTCTGCCAGTGGGGGCACCGCGGGTGTTGACAGACACAGTGACAGCGGGCACGATTAAGAACTGGGTAGCCCTGTCCGAGGTGAGAGCGCGCTACATGCGCTACATGATGCCAGCCGCGCTGGAGAATCTGCACACCGCACAGCTGCGAGATGCCAGGAGATACGAACAGCGGCAACGGAAGGGCGAGGGGAGAACGGCGAGGGGCGTCTGGGAAGGGCAGGAAGTTTATTTGAAGAGAGCGAAGCAGGACACTCTAGACGTGGGATTGGGGACAGTGCGCTGGAAAGTCAAGGAGGTGCGCCCTTTTGGGGTGCTGGTCTTGGAAAACGATAAAGGGGCGCTGTTGAGGGAGCATCAGACGAACACAGCCATGATCAGAGGGACCGGGCCTCAGCGTACTGGTCCTGTGACCCGCGCTCGAGCTGCTCAAGCACGGGCACAGGAGGGGGCAGAGAGTGGCTGAGGCAGCAGAAGGAACAGAGAAGAAGAAGAGAATCAAAATGCAGACAGATGACTAGCAGAGCTGTTTCTCCGACAGCTGTCACCGAATATGCATGGTTGTGCACATAAGGTGCCAGTTATATTGAGGTGTAGTTCTGGTGTGGTTCGGGTGTAGCAATGCTGTGTATGAATATTCGAGGGTAGGTAGTTGGGGAACCAGGGAAGTTGACGCGAGGTTGGTAGGAGAGCACCAAGGGGGAAATCCACGCGACCAATGTGATTGAACCAACCCTGGCTCGAGCCGCACATTGAGAAATGCACGGCTCGAGCCCAGGCCAGGTAAAGTCACTCTCTCACACAGCCCTGATGCTTTCCGTTTGTTATCCTTTCGTATAGTGGACTGTTGCCTAAACTTTGCAGACAGGTGGCACACCACTCAGGGAGGACCCTTGAGGTGAGAGTTACATCACTTTCATACGAGAGTGGCTGAGGCAGCAGAAGGAACAGAGAAGAAGAAGAGAATCAAAATGCAGACAGATGACTAGCAGAGCTGTTTCTCCGACACCCGGTATCCCGCTATCCCGCTATCCCGCTATCCCGCTATCCCGGTATCCCGGTATCCCGGTATCCCGGTATCCCGGTATCCCGGTATCCCGGTATCCCGGTATCCCGGTATCCCGGTTTCCCGGTTTCCCGGTATCCCGGTTTCCCGGTATCCCGGTTTCCCGGTTTCCCGGTTTCCCGGTATCCCGGTATCCCGGTTTCCCGGTATCCCGGTTTCCCGGTTTTCCGGTTTTCCGGTTTCCCGGTATCCCGGTATCCCGGTATCCCGTTATCCCGGTTTCCCGGTATCCCGGTTTCCCGGTTTTCCGGTTTCCCGGTTTCCCGGTATCCCGGTATCCCGGTTTCCCGGTTTCCCGGTATCCCGGTATCCCGCTATCCCGGTATCCCGGTTTCCCGGTTTCCCGGGATCCCGGTATCCCGGTTTCCCGGTTTCCCGGTATCCCGGTTTCCCGGTTTCCCGGTATCCCGGTATCCCGGTTTCCCGGTATCCCGGTTTCCCGGTTTTCCGGTTTCCCGGTTTCCCGGTATCCCGGTATCCCGGTATCCCGGTATCCCGGTTTCCCGGTTTCCCGGTTTCCCGGTTTCCCGGTTTCCCGGTTTCCCGGTATCCCGGTTTCCCGGTTTCCCGGTTTCCCGGTTTCCCGGTATCCCGGTATCCCGGTTTCCCGGTATCCCGGTATCCCGGTATCCCGGTTTCCCGGTATCCCGGTATCCCGGTTTCCCGGTATCCCGGTTTCCCGGTTTCCCGTTTTCCCGGTATCCCGGTATCCCGGTATCCCGGTATCCCGGTTTCCCGGTATCCCGGTTTCCCGGTATCCCGGTTTCCCGGTTTCCCGGTTTCCCGGTTTCCCTGTTTCCCGGTTTCCCGGTTTCCCGGTTTCCCGGTATCCCGGTATCCCGGTATCCCGGTATCCCGGTTTCCCAATATCCCGGTATCCCGGTTTCCCGGTGTCCCGGTATCCTGGTATCCCGGTATCCCGGTATCCCGGTTTCCCGGTATCCCGGTATCCCTGTATCCCGGTATCCCGGTATCCCGGTATCACGGTATCCCGGTTTTCCGGTTTCCCGGTATCCCGGTTTCCCGGTATCCCGGTATCCCGGTTTCCCGGTTTCCCGGTTTCCCGGTATCCCGGTTTCCCGGTTTCCCGGTTTTCCGGTTTCCCTGTTTCCCGGTTTCCCGGTTTCCCGGTTTCCTGGTATCCCGGTATCCCGGTATCCCGGTATCCCGGTTTCCCAATATCCCGGTATCCCGGTTTCCCGGTGTCCCGGTTTCCCGGTATCCCGGTTTCCCGGTTTCCCGGTATCCCGGTATCCCGGTATCCCGGTTTCCCGGTATCCCGGTATCCCGGTTTCCCGGTATCCCGGTTTCCCGGTTTTCCGGTTTCCCGTTTTCCCGGTATCCCGGTATCCCGGTATCCCGGTATCCCGGTTTCCCGGTTTCCCGGTTTCCCGGTATCCCGGTTTCCCGGTTTCCCGGTTTCCCTGTTTCCCGGTTTCCCGGTTTCCCGGTTTCCCGGTATCCCGGTATCCCGGTATCCCGGTATCCCGGTTTCCCAATATCCCGGTATCCCGGTATCCCGGTATCCCGGTATCCCGGTTTCCCGGTATCCCGGTATCCCGGTTTCCTGGCATCCGGGTATCCCGCCCGGTTTTCCGGTTTCTCTGTTTCCCCATGCTGTGAGCGCATGCCATGGCTCGCCATGCTGTGAGCAATGCTATGCTACCACTCTGGCAGTCCATGTTCATGCGATGTCCCTCCTTTCAGCTCGTCTCCCCTCTGTCACTCACCTCACCATCATCGCCCAGAGTTGCAAAGGCACATCTACCCTTGCCAAGCTTCGCCCCACCCCATGGCACGCCCTTACTAGCCTTTGCCCACATGCACGCATGGCAGGAACTTGAAGAGCAACAACTTCTCAGGGACTGTGCCCGCCTCGTTCTCATCGCTCACCGCCCTCCAGTTCCTGTGAACACAGCCTCTTCACGCTCAACCTCCTCACTGTCTTCCCACTGCTCCCCCTTCCCTTTTCGCAAGGCTCCATTCTCTCTTGCTCTGCCAACCTCTTCCGCCTGCTCGCTTTCCCTTCCCCCCACGACATTCTCCATGCCTTTGCTCCCTTCATTCCGGGTATGCCTAGAAGATGGACTGATCATGCACACCCCTTGTGTTGGCCCCCCCATCTTTTCTCTCCCCTCCAGCGAGTTGGGTGAGAACCAGTTCTCAGGAAGCTTCCCCTCAGTTGTCCTCACCCTCACCAACCTCAACGCCCTGTACGTCATCCCATGCTGACGTGGCAACACTGTTGTGCCATGCTGATGCCATGCGCTCTCCAACAGTCTACAGTTTTCTTACCATGATCTGCCTCCCTCCCTCCCTCCCTCCCTCCCTCCCTCCCTCCCTCCCTCCCTCCCGCAGTGGTTTGCAGGGCAACGGCTTTTCTGGCTCCATGCCACTGGGTGTGTCTGCTCTGGTGAACCTCAACGACCTGTAAGGCGAATCTCTGATGTATCGGCATGCATGCCATTCCATGCATCGTTCCTTCATTCATTCATTCGTTATAATGCTCGACATCAGTCATGGCTACCTTTCTCACCGCTCTGATCTGTCCACTTCCCTCCTGCGTTCTCTCACCTCTCTCATCGCCCGCCCTGCTGTGCGCTCTGATGTTGCTGCTCTGCTCTTCTCTGCTCTGCCACACGGCATGCAGGGACGTGAGTGACAACCGCTTTCATGGCAGCATTACGGACTCCCTCTTCTTTTGAGACGCCTCAAGTCAAAAGTCTTTCCTCTCCACTTCACCCCGGTCTCTGCTCTGCCCTGCTGCTGTGCTGTGCCACACGACATGCAGGGACGTGAGCAACAACCGCTTTCATGGCAGCATCCCAGGCGCTCTCTTCTCCCTCACATCTCTCCGCACCCTGTGAGCCTCAACTCTCAAGCCATTCTCCAGAAGCATATATCCGAAAGCTTTGATCTGGAGCCCAGTAGATAGCATGAGCAATGGTTTGTTCTGGCTCGCAAGAATCTCATGTCCTTTCTTTACTGCTCTGGAACATTTTCCTGGCGGAAACGCACTGTGACTACCATCTCTTGATGCTCTGAGATTTCCGGATGGAGAATAGATTGGATCTCTGTGCGTGTGTGTGTGCGTGTGTGTGTGTGTGTGTGTGTGTGTGCATGCAGCATGGCGTCGCGCAACCTGCTCTCTGGCGCCCTGCCCTCCGCCCTTCAAACCTCAGCATCCCTGGAACAACTGTGAGCCGCATTGCACCAGCTATGCGCCACAGGGTGGACCATGCACCAAACTTGAGCCCCGTCTTTCTCTCACCACTGCATCGAGCCCGGGCGCCAATGCAAACCCCACCTCTGCTGCCATGCCTGCGCGCCCCTGCAGGCACCTGGAGGGCAACGGGCTTGCAGGGTCTCTGCCGGACTTCTCTCGCTGGAACACGTCTCTCACTGCTCTGTATGGTCGCTGTATGGCCACTGGTGTGGGTGTGGGTAGGTGTAGCTTTCTCTGGCAACGGGCTTGCAGGGTCTCTACCGGACTTCTCTCGCTGGAACACGTCTCTCACTGCTCTGTACGGTCGTTGCTGTGTGTGTGCAAGGGGTAGATAGGGGTAGGGTAGCCTTGTCACGCCATGACCGGTGTGTCTCTAGACGCCTTTATTACATGAACTGTGCAGTGTGCCCACTGCCGTACAGGTGAGGTAACTTATCGTGTCACCGACAGCACAAAGCAATTGCTTTGTGCCTCGCGTGCATATCTTCTTTTGCAGATGCATTTGCACTACTGCTGTTCGCAAGGAATGCTGCTATATTTGTATGACTTTTGAGAATTCTCAAAATTCATACAAAGAATGCTGCTTCCCGCCCGAGCCCGGCCATCAGGTTCCTAGCAGGCAACAACCTCACGGGCCATATCCCCCCCTCCATCTCCACCCTCACCTCCCTCCACATCGTCGGTGTTACTTTTAAGAATTCTCTAAAGTAACATCGTGCTGCCTCCTGCCCATGCCCGGCCATCAGGTTCCTGGCAGGCAACAACCTCACGGGCCATATCCCCCCCTCCATTTCCACCCTCACCTCCCTCCTCATCCTGTGAGTCACCTGCTGCATCTGAGCAGCTGATACTCACCCACTTGCTTATTCTGAGCCTCTGCTTCTGAGGCACCTCGATGAATGTGCGTGAGATAAAGGTTGATTGAGATGCCCCGTAAGTCAAACAAGTTGCAGCGCGTGTGTGCTCGTGGGTCATTGACTAGTATGTTCACCTGCCAATGACCCACGAGCACACACGCGTTGTTGTTAACCTGCCAATAGTTGTGCGTATGTATGAGAGGTACCCTATAGGGTAGTCTTGGCACACGTGGCTTACCCTTTGACTGACACGTGTGGCGTGTTGTTTGGAAAATCTCTCTACACGTCTTGTGCCATGTGCTGTGGCTTGTGCTATTGGTTGTGCGGTGGCATGTGCAGTAGCCTGCACAGCAACCAGTTGGATGGGCCCTTCCCAACCGGCCTCCTCTCCATCACCTCCCTCGAGTCCCTGTGAGCCCACCCTCCTGGGACATGGCAAAGCCATGGATCGCATGCACAGGAGTGAAGCCAACACTTTTCACATTTGCCATAAGGTCGCCCAGGATCCCCGCATCGTGCCATGCCACCATACCCCTGCACCATGGCTTCTTCCCTTCACTCACTCACCGTTTCCCTCACCACCCTACCCGTGGGGCCCTGCCCACCAGGCTGCTGGCGCGCAACAGCATTCAGGGCACCCTCCCAGACAACCTGGGCCAGCTCTCATCCCTGCGCCACCTGTGAGATCTGCACCGGGTTGCCCAAACTCTTCACACTCGTTAGTTCACAGTCTGCTTCCTTCGCATTCTCAACACTTGCCTGGTATAATAGCGTTCTGTAGTCTGTACAATCATCCTGCCACTCAAATTCTCCCGTGTATGTGTATAGTCACATCGGTTGGTCGTCATACTCGCGCTTTCCGATGCGACTGCTCCAATCGTGCCGCTGCTGCTTGCAGCTGGTTGAGTCGCAATAATCTCACAGGGAAGCTTCCGTCCTCCTTCTGTAACCTCTCCCGTTTAGAAATCCTGTAAGTCATCACCATCACTCACCCTTTCACCCCCCTTGAACCCACTCACTCATCCGCTCTGTCTGCCCTCCATGTTCTCTCATCAGTTCACTTCCCTCACCCATTCCCTCATTGCGCCACTCATTGCCACCACTAACGCATTCTGTGCCCCCCGCCCTACCAGGTACCTGAGCAGCAACAGCTTCTACGGCCCCATCCCTGAGTGTCTCTTCAGCGCCTTCCCCTGCCTCAACAGACTGTCCGTTCGCTTCCCTCACCCCTCACTTTGTTCTGTGAGCCTGTTTCTGAGATGCTTGTAAAAACGCTCCCTCATCCCCCGACTTGTTCTGTAAGAATCTGCTTGAGTTCCCTAAGAATGGTTTTCCTCCTTCCCCACATTGATGGTTTAAATTCCAAATTTCGCCCATAACCAATGCCCTCACCACCCCATACAGGGACGTGAGTCACAACAGCTTCTACGGGCGCATCAACCGCAACTTTGAAGGCATAGTGCCCACGGCGGGGGCTCTCCTCAACCTCGCCCACAACTACTTTTACGGCGACCCCGTGCTGTTCGCCAGTGGCTGCCAGTTCTGCCCGTCGGAGATTGCAGGGGAGAGTGTGGTGGAGCCCGGGGAATTGAGCGTGCAGGCTGGAGGGAACTGCGTCGTACAGTCAGAGGCCGGCAGGTGGGTGGGAGTGATTGCAGTGGGTGAAAGGGGTTTGAGTCGGGCAAAAGCTGATATGCTTCGTGGTTCACACCCAAGGTGGGTGCTTATCAATGCGGGTGTCTCCTGAGGTGGGTGCTTCTGGGTCTGTCTTTTATTTATGCGTTCCCCCTTTCTTTGCCCCTCATTCTCTCAATCGCTCCCTCCCTCCTTCCTTCCTTCCCTCCTTCCTTTCCTCCCTCCTTTCCTCCCACCCATTCTCCCCGTCCACACCCACTTCGATATGCCAGAGTGCCGCTGGTGGTGGCACGGCAGTACGAGACGGGGCAGGCGAGCCTGGCCCACAACTGCTTCCAGCCCACCGCCCCGCTCTCCTGCCCCGCCACACCCTATTCCAACCCCACCACACCCACCAACTCCTCCGTTTCCTCCTCCTCACCCACGTTCTCCCAGCGCACACCAGCAGCATGCAGGGCGTTCTGCAGCATCACGGACAACGGCCCCTGTGACGGCCATGGCGCCTGTGTGCCGCCCCCCCAGGGCCCCGACTCCTCCCAGGGCTCAACCGCCAGCTTCTCGTGCGAGTGTGACGCGGGGTACAGTGCGTTTGACAGCGGTAACGGGTCCACGTGCGTCATTCTCACCACCACCACTGTGCCTGGTCCAGGTGGGTGGGACTCCTCCCCTCCCAGGTGGGTGGCATCGCACTGGGCTGCTTCTTTTGAGGTGCCTCAGCAGCAATCCTCCTCTCCTCCTCCCCTCTCCTCTCCCCCCTCTTTTCCTCCCCTCCTCCTCTTTCTCCCCTTCACCAGGCCTATCACCAGCAGCAGTGGCAGGCATCGCACTGGGTTGCTTCTTCGGGCTAGCTCTTCTAGCAGCCATCCTCGTGTGGTTTCTCCTCCCCAAACGCCGCCGTGAGTCGCCCTCAAACCCCTCAACCAACCCCTGTGAGAGTTCTCTCTGAGAGTGGTTCACCGCACCCTGGGCTTGCCTGCTCCTGACTAATGCTGCAGAAGTAACTCTCAGCAATAATGATCGAACGAACTCTACACCCACCCACCACCACCATGTCAACCCCCATTCCTCGCGCCTCTTTTCCCCTGTTCCGGGCAAGTGGGGTGACTCGGACGTGTGTCACGAGTTCACCCTGCAGCAGATAGTGCACGCTACACAACAAACGGGCTGGGACGTTTTTTGACGCCCCTCAAACTCCACCTCCCCTCCTCTTCCCCCTCCCCCACCCTCTGCTGGTTTACCAGGCAAGTGGGGCGACCTGGACGTGTGTCACGAGTTCTCCCTGCAGCAGCTCGTGCAAGCCACGGACAACTGGGCTGATGCCAACCGGCTGGGGCGATTTTAGAGGCCCCTCACAAACCAAATCCATCCCTCTCCCCCCCAATCCCACCAGGCAAGTGGGGCGACCTAGACGTGTGTCACGAGTTCTCCCTGCAGCAGCTCGTGCAAGCCACCGACAACTGGGCCGATGCAAACCGGCTGGGGCGGGGGGGCTTTGCAACGGTGTACCTTGGAGTGTCGCCGCAAGGGGAGATGTGGGCCGTGAAGCGATGTAGAGTGATGACCAACGACTTTGAGAAGGAGGTGTGTCTATGGTTGGTTGTGGAGGAAGGAGAGGCACGTTAGAAGTATAGTATGTAGCATGCAGGGCCAGTGGGTGGCAGTGGAGTCAGTAAACCAAGGGGAGATGTGGGCCGTGAAGGCGGCTGTGCAAGTGTGCGAGTCATGCAACACTACGTGGCAAGAACCAGGTGCTTCTGCTGGGAATGATCCTTCTCTTTCCCCTCCTGCTCCGCCCTACCACTTCCTGTCTACTTGCAGGTGCGGGCCATGGCAACGCTGAGGCATGAGAACCTGGTGCGGCTGCTGGGGTTCTGTGTGGACATGCAGGTGGAGAGCGGACGGCAGGAGCAGGTGCTGGTGTACGAGTATGTGGGGAACGGTGACCTCAAGCACCACATCCACCACGCCAAGTGTGAGTTCATAAGCTCCCTTAGTATATGGACACGGTCAATAGAGCATGGAGCAAGTCAACTGTACGATGTGCGCATGATGGGACTGAGCATCTGCCGCACCACTTGCAGGGGCGTGCATGCATGCGATTGCCATTTACAACGTGTCATCACATCACATCACATCACATCACATCACATCACATCACATCACATCACATCACATCACATCAAATCCTCCTACAACACCCCCTGCAGGCCCCCTCACCTTCCACCAGCGCCTGCGCATCGCCCTGGGAGCAGCAGAGGGCCTGTCTTATCTGCACAGCTTCAGCACGCCCATCGTGCACCGCGATGTGAAGCCCGCCAACATCCTCGTCACCGACTCGCTGGCCGCCAAGCTCGCTGACTTTGGGCTGCTGAAGCAGCTCACTGAAGGGGACGGGGAGGGCGGTGCCACGCGGATTGCAGGCACGCCGGGGTATGTGGACCCAGACTACAATCGCACACGGGTGGTGTCCCCAAAGACAGACGTTTACAGGTGGGTGGGTGGGAATCATTAAGCCATCTCTCAAGTTGTTCATGCACGAATTCGACGAGGATCGCAGGCACGCCGGGGTATGTGGACCGGGACTACAACCGCACACGGGTGCTGTCTTCCAAGACAGATGTTTACAGGTGGGTGGGTGGATGGACGAGTGGGTGGGTGGGTGGAAATCATTCAGATGCCTCGGAAAAAGGCTTTGGGCTGCTCAAGCAGGTAAAACAGGGGTGTGATTAACGAGGGCCCAAGCGCGCGCCTTGGTCCACGCGCGCGTTTTGGTCCACGCGCGCGTTTTGGTCCACGCGCGCGTTTTGGTCCACGCGCGCGTTTTGGTCCACGCGCGCGTTTTGGTCCACGCGCGCGTTTTGGTCCACGCGCGCGTTTTGGTCCACGCGCGCAACTTGGTCCACGCGCGCGTTTTGGTCCACGCGCGCGTTTTGGTCCACGCGCGCAACTTGGTCCACGCGCGTTTTTTGGTCCACGCGCGCGTTTTGGTCCACGCGCGCAACTTGGTCCACGTGCGCGTTTTGGTCCACGCGCGCGTTTTGGTCCACGCGCGCGTTTTGGTCCACGCGCGCGCCTTGGTCCACGCGCGCAACTTGGTCCGCCGGGGTATGTGGACCTGGATTACAGCAGCACACGGGTGGTGTCCTCCGCGGATGCGCGGGTGGGTGGGTGGATGGAGATCATTCAGATGCCTCGGAAAGGCTGTGGGCTGCTCAAGCCGGTCACACAGGGGTGTGACTAACAAGGATCGCAGGCACGCCGGGGTATGTGGACCGGGACTACAATCATGCACGGGTAGTTTCTCCCATGACTGATGTTTACAGGTGGGTAGATGACGTGGAAAGGCTGGCTGCCTAAACAATTTTCAGTTTTTTTTTTCCTGGACTGGCCTCAGACTGCGACCATTGCTGTACCATGCTCCCTCCCTGTGTTTGTCTGCTGTGTCCCCTGTGGCCCTACCTCCTCTGCAGCTTTGGAGTGGTGCTGCTGGAGATGCTGACAGGCCGGCCCGCCGTGATGAGCGAAGAGGACTACCACATTGCCACGTGGGTGAGTGCCCTCGAAATAGCTCTGCACCTTCTTCACACTTAACACTTGTATGCTTTCTGCATGCAGGCGCTCAACATATGTGGTCTCGAACCTTTGCTAGATCCTCTGTTCGAGTTGCGAAGGACTAGCTATTTTTAAGTGTTGTGGTGATGAAGCACCTGCTGTTCTACCTCCATTCCTCCCCACCACCAGGCGGCTCAACGGGTGGCTGATTATGAGCTGGACCTGCTGAAAGACCCCTCTATGGAGGTCCAGAGGATGCCATAGTGGAGTTTGCAGACACACACTGCTCTTGACTGCCTCAAAATGCCATGCACTTGCTCCATCCCCTACCCGCACCAGGCGGCCCAACGAGTGGCGGATTACGAGCTAGACCTGCTGAAAGACCCTTCCATGGAGGTGCCAGAGGATGCCATAGTGGAGTTTGCAGACATTGCTCTCGACTGCCTGAAAATGCCGTGCACGCGCCGCCCCGACATGAAGGCTGTAGTGCACCGAATCGACGATATGATTCAGAAGTACTGTACTGGTAAAGGTGAGCGGGTGGCTGCTCCCGCTGAGCCTGTAATGAGAGAACTCGTTAGTGAGGATGTGGATAGTGTTGGTATGGAAGGCTTCGGAGGTGTTAGCGGGTTCACAAGCACAGAAAGCACTGACCAGAGCGGTGTGGTTAGTGGGCAAGAAAGTGGCAGTCTCTTGGGTAAGCGAGTGGTGGAGGGAAGGGATTCGGAAGAGGCGGTGGGTTTGAGGAATTCAGCCACGGATAGCATGACGTCTAAAGGCTCACATGCAGAGCATAGTGCAATCGAAAATAGAGTTCATCCCCGCTGAAGTCTCTTGTGTCATGTGTCTGACGTTTTGATTACGGTAATAATCGTGTATGATATACGGTGGTGTAACAATCACTACTAGTACCATAAGTTGCCGTGGTGTGTCAACCATAAACTCCTCATCATATTATTCTTGCAATTTCACTTCTCCACAACATACTGAATCCTTTTTCGCTTCATGCAACCGTCCCAATTGTAATATGTCACCTCCTCATGTTTCCTTTTCCTCTCTTCCTCCTCCATTTGGGAGAGACGGGTACCGCATTTGGAACAATCTGCAAGTTCCACCTAGCCTATTGATTGGCACACCTCGTAAACAGAAGCAAAGAATGTCCCCTGATTCCTATCATGTACAGAGGACCATCCAATGTATCCTGAGGTGAGGTGATGTCACGTGTGCAGAGAATGACCTGGCAACACCGAGGAGGTTTGCAGAGTCAGAAAGAACTTGCCACGTGTGAATGCTACCGTACAAGCCTGAACGAGTAACAATTTATAATCGGCTTCACAAAAAGTGGCAGCAATGTTCAGATGAACAAAAAATCAATTAGTTTCATTCGGTTTCAAGAAAAACCAGTGGTTTCACATGGTACTGTAAGTTGGCAGTGCCCTTGAGTCTATGATGATGCAAAGCCCATGGACGTCTGCAATAAGGGTGTGAGATGAACAGACCGTCAGAAAAGGTAACGAGGGGGGAGTGAAATGGACGTTTGTGAATAATGAAACAATACGAGGGGTGCCAAGTGCAGTAGGATGCAACACGCAATCAACAGATGCTAAGATACAGACAAAACAATGTTGCCGGCCGGCGGACAGGAACACCAGCTCACCTCATTGAGGTCTGCCAGGTGTCGCACTCTGAAGTCGTCCAGCGTGGCAGCAATCTCCGCTGGCGGGAGCTTGGCCTGACGTTGCACACATGGTTTGGAGGTGGATGGGGGGATGGTGGGACGGGAAGGTGAAGGTTTTGGAGGGTCGAGAGATGAGAGGACGCCGGCAGCATGGTTTACAGCCTTCATATAAAAACAGCGCAGCAAGCAGTGCATAAATTAGTCCACTGAAATACAATTCTCTACAGCAGTACAACCGCACCCGACCCCCACCCCACCCCCTCCCCCCATCCCCCCAAATCCCTGAAACAAACCTGGGCGAGCACGGCTGCTGCCAGCTGCAGACTGGGCTCCAACGTCTCTGGCACCACCTGATGCACGTGGGGGGTGAGTAGGTGTAAACAGGTTTTAGGGTGGGCAGGTGAAATGGGAGAAAGGCAGCAGTGGGACAAGTACAAGGTTCATAAACAAGAGGGGGAGGGAAGGGGAAGGGGGAGGAAGAGGAGAAAAGTGATTTAGAATCTCCTTTAAACACTCAACCAGACACCATCCCCCCCATCCAGCTTGCACCTCCCCTCCCCTTGCCCCTTAGTCCCCACTCCTCTTCTCCCTCCCCCACTTCCAATCTCCCGTAGACTCACCGCAGTGGCGCTGGCCTTCTCGAGGTTGATCCCATGGTCGATGTCATGCGCGTGCACAAACGTCTTGATGTGTGGGAAGTTGTGAGTCAGCGCCCACACCCCCTGCTCCCCCCTCCATCACCCCCAGACTCACCGCAGTGGCACCAGCCTTTTCCAAATTGATCCCATGGTCGACGTCATGCGCGCGCACAAACGTCTTGATGTGTGGGAAGTTGCGTGTCAAAGCCCACACCGCGCGGTAGTTCGCTCCGGGCGTGTCGAGAGTAATGACAGCCGCCGCCGCCCGCTCCGCCCCCACCTTGTGCAGCACGTCCCGGCTGCCCGCGTCGCCGAAATAGACTGGCAAGTCGAGACTCTGACCCGCGCTCACTCTCTCACTGGCGGGATCGAGGGGAAGGAAGGAGGAGAGAGAGGCAGAAAGAAGGGGAGCAAGAGAGACAGGGAGAGGGATAAGGATCAGGCAGCACCTGGGCAATTGCCTTCGCCACACACCGCTCCGGCCCCACCTTGTGCAGCACGTCTCTGCTGCCCGCATCGCCGAAATAGACTGGCAAGTCGAGACTCTGACCCGCGCCCACTCTCTCACTGGCAGGCGTGAGATAGGGAGAAAAAGGGGCAGGAAGAGGGAGAGGGATCAGGTACCACCCAGGTGATTGCAATCAATTCGAACTCATACTGCACGTCTCTACGAAACTCATGCTGCCCGCATCACCGTAGCAGACTGGCAGGTGGAGGGGCTAACCTGCACTCGCCCTCTCACTGCAGATATGTACGGGGTTAACGGGGGCAAGAAGCTGAGAGCAGCTGGCTGATCATCTGCCCCACCTGTGCGGAGAGGCAGGGGGACAGGCACGTACGTGCAGTGCCGTGCAGTGCAGCTTCTGAAAGCAAGAGGTTCACATGGAGTCAGACTCACGTGCGGACGAACGTCGAGGGTGACAGAGGGGATGAGGCGCTCTGAGAGCAGCAGCTGGCCGGTGATCTTCCCCACACGAGTGGAACTGAGCCTCCCGTCTCTAATGAGAGGAAGAGAGCAAGAGAGGAAGAGAGGAAGAGAGGAAGAGAGCGAGAGAGGAAGAGAGCAAGAGAATGAGAGGAGGCGAGACTTACGTGCGCACGTCGAGGGCAACGAAGGGGATGAGGCGCTCTGAGAGCAGCTGGCCGATGATCTGCCCCACGCGGCCGAAGCCACAGATGATGATGTGGCCCTGCAGGTCGTCCGTCTCTGTCTCTTGCGGCTCCAGACTCCTCACGTCCTGCTGGTCGAAGCGCGCCGCCAGCAGCTGACCAAAGCCGGCGAGCCAGGGCGTGATGGCCATGCTGATGCCAACGATTAGGAAGAGGAGAGAGGAGAGCTGCGCCGGCATGATGCCCTGATGGGGGAGAGGTGAGAACAAGGAGGTGGTGGGAGGTTGCATGTGCAAATACAAGCAGAGCCGGGAAGGAAGGGCAGACTATGAAGAAGAGCAGCGAGGAGGCCTGCAAACATCCTTCCTCAACATTCTCGTACCTTCTGCACGGCCTCTCCAAAGGCAACGAAGGCGAACTCCCCTCCAGGAGCGAGCAACAAGCCAGTGCGCACAGCAGCGATGGTGGAGAGACCGAAGTAGCGCCCCATGGCCGTTATGAGGGCCGTCTTGCCAATGATGAGCGCTGCTATCGATGCAATGATGAGGGGAAAACGCGCGATCAGAAGCTTGGGATCGATGGACATTCCCACCTGGGGAGGGCACAGAAGAGGGGCAGGGGAAATGGAGGGCATGGAGGGGGAAAGAGAAGGAGAAGGGCGAGTACACGTGTCTGTCATAAGAACGTTCCGCTTTGGACTGATGGACATGCTTGTTTGAGATGGGGGGGAGAGGGGAGAAGATGGAAGAGGGACAGAGGGCAGAGAGGGGTGAAGAGGCATCATTGGCAAGTGAAAACTGGCATGAATGGCACACAGCATACATTGCAATGAGCGACTCACAGTCATGAAGAAGAGCCCGAGCAGCAGCCCGCGGTACGGGTTGATGTCCGACTCCACCTGCAGTGCAAACTCTGTCTCTGCCAGCAGCAGCCCTGCCAGGAACGCCCCCAGGGCCATTGATAGGCCCGCCTGCACAGAGAGAGTTAAGGGGAAGGTAAGGAAGGAGTGGGGGTAGGGGAGGGGAAGGGCGAGGGGGAAAAGGGAGGTAGGGGTTGATGTCCGACTCCACCTGCAGCGCAAACTCCGTCTCCGCTAGTAGCAGCCCCGCTAGGAATGCGCCCAGGGCCATTGACAGGCCCGCCTGCAGAAGGATGGGAAGACCGGCAGGAGGAAGTGAAGTGGCAAGGTGAGTGACGGAAGTGGGTGGGATCCTGGGAAAGGAATAAGGAGAAGAGAAAAGCAGTGTCATGTGTGAACAGCCCACCTGTGGTGTGAGCACGAGTTTTGTGGCACTTCAAAACTCGCTGTAAGACACTAGAGACCCACCTGGGCGGTGAGCACGGAGGTCCCGAGCACGACGAGCAGTGTGTTGGCTGCAGTGAGGTAACCACCTGTGCAGTCACGTGCTCAAAACCCACCTGGGCGGCTTTTGAGACGTCTCAGAAGTCAGTCACGTGCTCAAAACCCACCTGGGCGGTGACCAACCCACCCGAGGTGCAAGAGGACGCACCTGGGCGGTGAGCACGGAGGTCCCGAGCACGACAAGCAGCGTGTTGGCGGCAAAGATCTCCGCGTTGTGATTCTCCGCCATGCTGCGATAGATGGGACGCAGTAGCTGGTTGGGAAGTGGTGAGAGGGGGTGAGAGGGGGTGAGAAGGGGTGAGAGGGGGTGCATGCATGGGGTTTAAGATCTCCGCGTTGTGATTCTCCGCCATGCTGCGGTATATGGGGCGCCGCAGCTGGTAGAGGGGGAGGGGCGGAAGGGATGAAAGGGAGGGAAAGCGTGGGCAGGTGGGATGGGAGAGAGTGCGAAGAGGGAGGGAGGCTTGATGGAAGTGGGCATGAGCAAGGGGGACGAGGACAGGGAGGAGGACATGTGATGGGATGCCGGCTGTTGCGAGCAACAACAAACAGTTCCTGCAAAACCACACCCCACCAGCCTGCCGCCCAAAGAGCACGCACCAGTCTGCCGCCCAAAGAGCACCCACCAGTCTGCCGCCCGCAAAGATGCCTGCAATGGCGACGACGGCCTTCATTGCTGCCAGCCCCAGCGCCTTCGCAATGGCTGCCAGACCCACGGACTGACATTGGTGGGGAAAGGGAGGGGGAGGGGGAGGGGGAGGGGGAGGGGGAGGGGGAGGGGAAGGAGAGGAAATGCAGGGGGGAGTAGGTGAAAAAAAGGTGTGGGCGACCACCGCCTTCATCGCTGCCAGCCCAGCGCCTGCGCTATGGCCGCCAGACCCACGGACTGACATAGGGGGGAAGGGGCGGGGTGGCTGGAAGGAAGAGAGGAAGATCAAGGAGGAACAGTGAGGAATAACACGAGTGGATGGTTGTGCCACATGAGAGACAGGCGATGACGAGGTGACGATTCCAACATGTCAGTTTCATTCGCAATGAGCGAGATACAGAATGACAGGGTGAGGGTACGGGAGGGTGACGGTGAGGGAGGGTGGAGGGCGTGGCGTACCCCGTCGGCAGAAGTCGGAGAGGGTGCGAGGAGAGGGATGAGGATGAGCAACACCACCACCGCCAGATCCTGGTGAGATGTATTGTATAGACATAAGAAATGGGATGTAGGACATAAGAAATAAGTTGTGGGCAGGGAGGAAGGGACATGTGGAATGGAGATTAAGGGAGAAAGAGAAGAGAGAGGGGAGAGGTGGGGGGAGAGGAGGTTGGATAGAAGTGGATGGGATAGTCAGCAGACAACAGACAGCAATAACAGACAGACAGCATATGGCAGCTTCAAGGGCAGCAGACGGCACCTGGAAGAGGAGAACTGAGAAGGTTGCACGGCCGTGGCGAGAAGTGCTCTCCCCTCTCTCTTGCAGCACCTGCCGTGATGGGTGGGACAAAAGCGGGGGTGGGGTGATGGTGATGGTGATCGCATGTCACATGATGGGTGGGACAAAAGCGAGGGTGGAGTGATGGAACTCCTCGGGTTTAGCCAGCCCCCTACAGCCAAACAGCCCCCTACAGTCAAACAGCCCCCTACAGCCAAACAGCCCCCTACAGCCAAACAGCCCCCTCAGGTGCTGCCAGCCCCCTACAGCCAAAATGCCCCCTCAGGTGATAGAAAGTGTATTTTGAGACGTCTCAGAATTACACTTTTATTACGAGGCTATTATCACGGGACTGGAGCTCAGGGGCTGCAGCTTGGGAGCTCAGTGTATGTGCGTGCGGTGCGATGGGAATGGAGAAGGGAATGAGTGAAGGTGATGGAAATGGGGAAGGGGATGGAAATGGGGAAGGGGATGGGTGATCACAGGATGGGTTGTGCTTGCGAATGTGATGGATGGTTAATCTGATGGTAAGTGGGATCACGATTCAGAGAATCCACTGTTGAATTCACCTGAAGCGCGAAAATCACCTGAGAGCCGATATCACCTTAAGGTGAGGTGAACTGACCTGGAGCACGACGGCAGTAGAAGAGAGCGCGAGGCCGCTGCCAATGACGAGGGCAGCCGGGCCCGACACTGATGCGAGCGCCGCCACACTCACTCCCACCACCACCGCTGTCACCAGCACCTGAGGACAAGGGAAGCATGGGGAGATGGAAAACCGGCTTTGACTCGAGGTCCTAATTGCTTCAGGACCAAATGCTGCCAGCTACCATCCCAGCAGCTTTGGGAAAGCAAACAAGGAAAGGTGGTAACAAGCAAGGGCTGCCACCGGAGAGGTATCTGAAGTTGACTTTTGAGTCGACTCAAAAGCTACCATCCCAGCAGCTCTGGGAAAGCAAACAAGGAAAGGCATATGGTAACAAGCAAGGGTTGCCACCGGAGAGGTATCTGAAGCAATAGGGCTGTGGGGCTGTAGTGGAGGGAGGGGTACCTGCGCCGAGCCAAAGCAACGCGGAGGGGAGGCTGGCCTAAGTGTGCGGAGCCAAGGCCTATTTTTGAGGCGCCTCAACAGGCGGCTGGCCTACGCCTACCTGAGCAGAGCCAAGACCGAAGACGTATTTGCGCATGGAGTTGAGTCGCTCCAGAGACAGCTGTGGTGGTGATGGGGGGTGGGGACGGCAAGGGAGGGGCAAAAAGGGTGAGAGGGGTGAGATGGATCAGAAGTACGTGAGGGAAGTGATTGTACGAGGGATAGAAAGAGGAGAGGAGAGAGGAAGAGGAGGGACGAGAGAAGAGAGGGAGAAGAGAGAGGCACTGACCTCGAGGCCGATGTTGAACATGAGGAAGACCACTCCAAACTCTGCGAGTGCCTTGGTGCCGTGCACGTGCTTAATGATTGACAGCGCATACGGACCGATGAGGGCGCCTGCTGCTAGATAGCCCAGCACGGGGCTGCCTGCAGTGTGGGGAGAACAGGAGGGAGAGAGTGGAGAGAGTGGTAAGAGCGCCTTGGTGCCGTGCACGTGCTTTATGATTGACAGCGCGTACGACCTGATGAGAGCCCCCGCTGCTAGGTAGCCCAGCACGGGGCTGCCTGTCATGTCGGGAGAGCAGGCGGGAGAGAGATGGGAGGACGAGAGCGGAGAGGGAGAAACGCACAGGGACAAGCACTCAGTGATGCAAGCGGAGTGACGGGGTCTCATGAGCATCGGGCCAGCTCACCACAGCTCACCACCGCTCCCAACTCACCTCCCGGGAGCTTCTGAAAGGCTGGAACGAACACGACACTGGCGAGCAGCAGCCAGAGCACGTCATACAGCGATGCCTCCTCCTCGTTCGGCTCATGTTTCGGCATCTTCTCGACCATCTCCCGCACCCTCATCCCCACCCGTTGCACCTCCGCCACCAGCGGCCGCACCGCCTTCTGCTCCACCTCCATAACCGCCATCGTCACGGGCGGCACGTGCTGTCCTCTCTGCGCCGCCCGCTTCTCCATGCGTGCGTTCAGCGCCACGCACCCCAGCAGCAAAACGACAAACGCCACCACGGCCTTGGGGAGGTGCCTTCTGAAGGCGGCGAGCGCGCGGGGCAGGGCGCTCTGCAGCCACGCCCAGGGGGAGGTGGCACCTGCGGCGGGGGAGGTGTCATCTGGAGCAGAGAAGAAAGATGCGGAGACCCAGCGGGAGGACTTTTTGGGCTTTGACATTCCCGAAGCTGCTCCTGCTGATGCTGATGTTGATGATGATGCTGATGAGCCAGATTTAGGAGTTGGTGCGGATCCTGCGGCTGCTGCTGTTGCTGCTGCTGCAGCTGGGACTGCATCAGGCGATTCCACCTCCCCCCCATCTACCTCCACCATACCTGCCTTGTCCAATTCCAGGCTGACACGTGCCACCCCATTCCCTTCCCCAGGAACCTTTCCCACAGGCGCAGCGGCAGCAGTCGCGGCACTGCTACCTGCACTCTTCACCCCACCGTTGCTCGCAGCAGCAGGCACTGCCTCCCCTCCTTCCTTCCCAGACTCCCCACCACCACTCTGTACCGCACTCTCTCCCTTCGATGCCTCCTCCTCGCGCTCCTCCCCCTTCCCCCTGCCACCATCCGCCCCCACAACCGCCTCAGCTGCACCTGCTGCAGCATTGCCACCCAATTCCCCGCCTGCCCCACCTGCTGCCACCCCACCAGCTGTAGCAGCACCACTACCAGAAGCAGCAGTGCTGACTACACCAGGAGAAGCGGCGTTTGAATCACCAGCGGCATCAGCTGCAGCAGGGGTGCCACGTGGCAGCATCTCCTTCGCTGCGGCCTTGCCCTCTTTCACTGTAGACGCCAGCGCAGCAGACGCCCGAGCCACCTCATTGGCCAGGAGAGCCTCCTTCTCCACAGTCAGCAGGGCCGCCTTCTCCCTTGCCTGTAGCCAGGGTTTCGGATTTCAATGGAACAAATGAATCATCGGACCACCATCGCAGCAAAAACATTGAGAAATCTGAGAGTAATAAAGCGTTTGATTGTCACTCCCGGCACCGCGAAGAGCCAATCGCGCATACACGTCTGCCCATCCACCTGATTGCTTAGTTTCTCAAATTTCTTCAGAATCACTTCATATTTTTGTCATTGAACGCCCCCCCATACCTTGGCGATATCTTTGCTCAGCTTCTCCGCCCTGCTGATGGCCTTGCTCGCGTCCGACACGCGCCTATTTGCCTCCACCTCCCCCGCCACCGCCTCTTCCGCCGCCGCCATGCTTGCAGCCGCGCGCTCCTCCGCCTCCTGCGCCAACCTCCGCGCCTCTCCCGCGCGCTCCGCCCGCTCCGCCGCCAGCTGCAGCAGCCTCTCCTTCCGCGCCAGCACCTGCGTAAGCGCCTCCCGCCGCGTGCGCAGCTCCTCCCTGCGCGCCTGCATCAACTCCTGCGCCTCTTTCACCGCCGCCTTCAGCGCGTCTACCCTTTCCGCGGTAACTTTTTCCGCAGAAGGCTTCCCCCCGGCGCCTGTTCCCGGATCCGCGCCCCCCAGTCCGCCTTCCTCCTCTGACCTTCCCGCTTCGCCCTCCCTATTCACAAACTCTAGCAGTGCTGCGCGCAATTCTGCTTCCGCCGCCGTCGCCGCCACCTCTTGCGCAACGAACGCCGCATCAGCAGCGTTCAGCGCCTTTTGCGCTGCCACCTCGACAGCCAGCTCAGCTTCCACGTCACGCAGCACCTCATCCACCGCGTTCTCCGCCGCAACAGCCGCGTCCTTCAGCTCAATCGCTCGTTCCGCGACGCGCTGCGCCTCGACCTCGGCAGCTAACGACCGGTCCCGAGCCGTTGCGAGTTCTTGCTCCGCAACTTCCAACATAACGCGCAGCGCGCTAAGAGGCGACTCGGAGCCCCGCACGCCGGTTGCGGAACCAGAAGAACCCGGTGAAGCAGGAGGGGGCTCGAGAGTGGGCGGCGGCGCCTCGGGATCATTTGCATTGGCTGCATGAGTCTGTACGCTCGGTTTCGCTGCGCTTTCCCCTACTGCGCTTTTCCCCCCTGCGCTTCCCCCAGCTGCGCTTTCCCCGCCAGTCGTCTGCGAAACCTCTCCTCCATCGCTTGTTGCGGCTGATTTCACGGGCTCATTCTCCTCGTCATTGGACGGATCTGACGTGTAAAGCCGCCATTCCTTATCGCCATCTGCCGCTGCCGACCTTCGAGTTACCGGGTTACAAGGTAATCGACCGGGATAGATGCCATACAGAGAATCAACAGATCTGGACGAAAACGGTGAGGCTTTTGCGGTCGAGTGGCCCTGGGAGAAACCCGACAAGATCTTCACGCCAACACCACGCCGCGATCGATTCTTGCCGCGGCCTTCAGCGCGCGACGCGATCGGCAAGCCTACAGGAGCTGGGGCTTTCAGTGCTGTCGGATTCACCGTGCCGCTCGCCATGGCGGACTTAGTTGTTGCAGCTAAACGAAGGCCTCCACAGCAGTTGCAAGCAAATGCTTTTCTAAGAATCCTTAGAAAAGCGTAAAGTCTAGCATCATCAAGCGCGGTAACATTCAGACTGCGGGTTTGAATGCGGGTTCGCGAGGTGGAGATGTAACTTGGATGGATAGAGTACGGTGACCAGGCTATGCTGGGAGCTGGATCCTCGAGATTGGCACGCCACCGTGAATCATGGGAGCGCGTCTGCGACAAATTGAAAGTGGATATTTGTTTGCCAGCCGAGCAGGCAGGCTAGCCAGCATGGAAAAGGAAGTCCACGTGGAATAAATTAGTGCACACCATATTCTGAGATCTTCCCAGCTTGGAATATCGCAATCTAAAGACCTGGCTTGTGTGGTGGGGCTGCGTCTGTTGTCCAACTGACGTACGCCATTGTAGCTTCTCCGACTAAACAACCAGCTGATTCCACCAATACATAGTATGCTCTAACACCAAATCGAGAACATGTTATTGAGTGACGAGAAAAAAATATGCCTTCAAGGCCTAACTGGCTTGCAACGTGCATTGACAGGAACAGGCACGTACATAGGATCGCCATTCGCCCATAACACCCAGATAACTTTACTGAAGTATACTCCTATGCACTACATACTACATCCTAGTCATCTAGATTAAGATCACTGCCACATCCCCCACTAATCTCGCTACCATACTCGTAGTCCTGATATCCATCCACCGCCCAAGGAACCACAGCTTCTAATAACCTATCCCCGATGCTTACATATTCCTGCACACGTGGCCGCTTCCCCCAAACCCTAATCTGCGGTGGCGGAGCCTTCTCAATCACATCGGGAAAGCCCGTGCCGCATCGCAACCGCGTCCTTCCCCGCCCGCGGAAAAGGACAAACGCAGCAACGCCGACTGTAGCGGTGGCAATCAGCCGCCAGAGCCCCGAAACCGGCGGGGGAACGCCGCGGTGGCGCGGACACGGCTGTCGCGGGCTCGGCGGACTTTGTCGATGACACTGGGGAAGGTTGCGGAAGGAAGACTGATCATCAAAATCCGTGTCTGACGTGGAAAGAGGATCAGACAAGGCGTCAGCAAATTGCTCATCTTGGGGAGATTCTTGTCGGTCCCTCTCAGCCTCGGGGGGTCGCGAGGATGAGGCATGCTCGGATATGGACTCGACAGCGACTGGCTCGGAACAGACAAGGATAGGTCCTAAGAGTTCTACGGACTGGTCAAGCTCGAAACTTGGACGGTCGCGCTGAGTTTCAGAAACTTGCCCTGACGGCACAGGCTCGGAAGCGACACTATCGGAGTCTAACGGTGCAGCCAATCGGTCCTCGCTTACGCCGTCCGCATTCCGCCTCCCCAGCTCTTCGTCACAACTATCTCTACTGTTCGCGTGGCAGTTCGCACAATTCGCTGAAGAAGCGGCGGCGCAGCCAGCTGCATTGGATGGTACACCAGAGTGGGCGATCCGACTGCCTCTCGCACAACACGCGGAAGAAGGCTGCCTATCAGTCAAAACAGTTGTGTCGTAACGCATGGAATCGAGCTCCGCGATGGATCCGACGGCAGGTTCTCGGAGTGCGGGAGCCATGCCTGGACTAAGGCTATCTAGACTAGACGTTGATGTTCTGCTGCAGTTCTCACGCGTGATAGGTCTGGTACTCTCAAGCGCAGTTGTGAGTATCAGCAACAGCAACTGATCACAGATAAAAATGGCTTGTTGGTGGGGTGGGGTGGGGTGAGAGCGACGGGGAAGAGCTCGATCCGTCTTCCGCCATTCCCTGTGAACGCGGGAAGCGTTGCGGACAGATCCCCCTGCAGCTTCCGCAGAGCTCAGACCTGGCGCAGGGCAGGGGTGTGTGCCGCATGCCACATACAAGAGCAACATGTTAGAGGGGGGTTTACTATTAACTTTGAAGAGTACTTTCCAACTAATTTCTATCCTTTTACGGTATCTTCTCAAATTTCCTAGTGCCACGTGACACTCTACTTCTTCTCCTAATTCACGAACACCTTCTTTCGCCAAAGTCTTCCACCGTGTTTATCATCGACTTAGTCGAGTCCCCTATTCTTTAGCAAATGTAGGCCAAGGGCCTAACACTTGGTATCAAGAGCCTTCGCGGGGAGCAACTTCCAATGAGCGACCGTCGATGATGAGACTACGATTCATCGTTCCATAGTGCCGAAATGCAGACACGGGGTCGTCAAGCCGACATGGACGAAATCATGAACAATCTCCCCCAAACGACATGGACAACATGCATGCACAACCCATGCGCCAACTTGAAACGTTTACGCTAGAAAATCGGCAGGTACGGGCTGAAATGCAACAGCTTTGTGAATTAGCGTCTATTTCTCTTAGGCATGCCGCACCATCTCCTGCACCCAACACGTCGACTGGTGTGGAAGCGCTGCCGGAACATCAAAGCGCTCTAAAGCCAAAAAGGCCAAAAAATGTGAATTTAAACATGGGTTACTCAAATATGTAAAAAAATCCAAGTTCTTGATTGCTTTTCCCTAGGCCTATAGGGATTCAAGGGCCTTCTAAGCATTAGTTGGAAAAAACAGCCAAAATCATAGGCGCGGAACCTTTCTTTGCGCAAAAACCAAGCCGAAAAGGCTCTAATAAGTTTATATGAACCTAAGCTACTAGAATATGCAATAACACTCTGGCTGTTTAAAGTTTTCCCTACACCTATAGGAATTCATGGCCTTTTTTAGCATTTGTCGGCAAAAGCGGTCGAAATCATAGACGCCGAACTTTTCTTTGCGCAAGAACCGAGCCGAAAAGGCTCTAATATGTATATTTGAACCCAAGCAACTCAAACATGCATTAACATTCAGGTTGTTGAATGCTTTTCCCTAAGCCTATAGGGATTCATGGCCTTTCTAAGCATTTGTCGGCAAAAACGGTCGAAATTATAGGCGCCGAACTTTTCTATGCGCAAGAACCAAGCCAAAAATACTCTTATAGGTGTATTTGAACCAAATGTACTCTAATATGCAATAACATTCAGGTTGTTGATTGCCTTTCCCTCCGCCTATAGGGATTCATGGCCTTTCTAAGCATTTGTCGGCAAAAACGGTCAAAATCAAAGGCGCCGAACTTTTCTTTGCGGAAGAACCAAGCCGAAAAGGCTCAAATAGGTGTATTTGAACATAAGCTACTCGAATATGCAATAACTGTCAGATTTATATGACATAGCTACTGTAGGCTATAGTGGGGTAGCACATATGGGGTACAGTTTTCTAGGGTTTGCTTTTGTACCCAACTTTCCCTTAGTCAATTCATTCCTCATTTCTTCACATGGTATAGAGCAGGTTCCCTAGTGGGAACGCTTCCTTGGGCCCACCACTGAAACCTTTTTTTTTTCTGACCGGAGCGACAGTCGCTCCTGCCCGAGGCGCGCCTTGTGGGCCGCCCTTCTGTCGAGCTCTCTTAGAGGCCCCTCTCACGGCCCCTCGCGCCACCCTTAGCGGCCCCGTCGCCGCCCCTAGCGGCCCCGTTGCTGCCCTTCCAGGCCCCTTGCGGCCCCTAGCGGCCCCATTGCCGCCCCTACGCGGCCCCGTAGCTGCCCCTAGCGGCCCTGTCGCCGCCCTTAGCAGCCCCGTTGCCGCCTCCCTCCCTACGCGGCCCCGTTGCCGCCCCTACGCGGCCCCGTCGCCGCCCCTAGCGGCCCCGTCGCCGCCCCTACGCGGCCCCGTCGCCGCCCCTAGCGGCCCCGTAGCCGCTCCCCTCCCTACGCGGCCCCGTCGCCGCCCCTACGCGGCCCCGTCGCCGCCCCTACGCGGCCCCGTTGCCGCCCCTAGCGGCCCCGTCGCCGCCCCTAGCGGCCCCGTCGCCGCTCCCCTCCCTACGCGGCCCCGTAGCCGCCCCTACGCGGCCCCGTCGCCGCCCTTACGCGGCCCCGTCGCCGCCCCTAGCGGCCCCGTCGCCGCTCCCCTCCCTACGCGGCCCCGTCGCCGCCCCTACGCGGCCCCGTCGCCGCCCCTACGCGGCCCCGTCGCCGCCCCTAACGGCCCCGTCGCCTCCTCCCTCCCTACGCGGCCCCGTCGCCGCCCCTACGCGGCCTCGTAGCCGCCCCTACGCGGCCCCGTCGCCGCCCCTAGCGGCCCCGTCGCCGCTTCCCTCCCTACGCGGCCCCGTCGCCGCCCCTACGCGGCCTCGTAGCCGCCCCTACGCGGCCCCGTCGCCGCCCCTAGCGGCCCCGTCGCCGCTCCCCGCCCCTAGCGGCCCCGTCGCTGCCCCTACCCGGCCCCGTCGCCGCCCCTAGCGAGCAGCCGAGCCGCCGAGCCGCCCAGCAGCTGAGCCGCCGAGTCGCCCACCAGCCGAGCCGCCCCTGGAGCAGCCGCCACTGCAGCAGCCGCCCCTGGAGCAGCCGCCACTGCAGCAGCCGCCCCTGGAGCAGCCGCCACTGCAGCAGCCGCCCCTGGAGCAGCCGCCACTGCAGGAGCCGCCCCCGGAGCAGCCGCCACTGCAGCAGCCGCCCCTGGAGCAGCCGCCTCTGGAGCAGTCGCCCCTACAACTGCCGCCCCTGGAGCAGCCACCCCTGCAGCTGCCGCGGAGCTCTCGCTCTACAGTGGTAGCGGCCTCGCCGTTGCCGCCGTCGTACGCCTGCCCTTCTCGCCACTGGTGAGCACTGCCCTGCCCGTACTGCTGTTACTGCTGCTCTTACTGCTGCTGCTCTTTCTACTGCTACTGCTGCTCCTGGCGTGGCCAGATGCAGCTCCAGCGTCGCCCGCGTGAGTCCCTCACCCCCCAACAGCTTCGTGCGTGGTACGCTAGTTGGGGTTGTCGGGGTGGCCGTAGTGGGAGTCGTCCTGGAGTGAGTAGTTCCACAGCTGCTTGTAGTGGCCAGGTGCAGCTGCAGCGTCGCCCGCGTGAGTCCCTCACCCCCCAACAGCTTCGTGAGTGGTACGCTAGTTGGGGTTGTCGGGGTGGCCGTAGTGGGAGTCGTCCTGGAGTGAGTAGTTCGGCAGCTGCT